GCGGGCGATCACACTGCGGACGGGAGGTGCATTTGGGATCCGTTGCAATAAAATGGCGGCGCAACGCACCTCCCTCAGGCCGAAACTGAAAATTACTTTTTTCCCAATATTTTAAACATTTGAATATGTTTCATGGATTTAAAATAATGTGAATGATAAAACTCTAAGCCAATGTAATAAATGAACCAAACGGATTTAAAATAACACCCCAAAATTTTGTTTCTATTTTAAATTTTAGTTTATTTCCCTTTTATAAAATTTTTTTACTTTATTGCTGGAAGCAATGGCAAGCCTGCTATTGGATATTTCAATAGCAGGATGGCTATCGCAAACCACCCACTGCCTGCTGTCAATCAGCAGAGGAGGCACCTGAAGAAGAAAGTTCTCCATCGGGTCCTCCTCTGCTGATTGACAGCAAGAAGTGGGCGGGTGCAATAGCCAGCTTGCTATTGGGCTAGTGCATTTTAAAATATCCAATAGCAAGCTGAGTGTGGCTCCCGCCGCCTAGATGCAGTGGAGGAACAGGGCAGCAGCAGAGGCACGGGGGAGGAGGGGGCGGAGGCAAAATGGGGCGGGGTAAAGGCAAAACGGAGCACGGATGAGGAGGAACGGGCCCAGGCAGAGAAGGCACGAGGTGGCAGCGGAGGCACGGGGCAGCAAAGGTTCGGGGGGATGGGTTTTTAAGGATTGCCTAAGGCCCCGTTCACATATAGCGAATTGTCGCGCGATTTCCGCCGCGATATCGCGAGAAGTCGCCGGCCTATGTTATTCAATGGAGCTGTCTTAACTCCATGTCGCGCGTCGCTCGTCGCGGTCGCTTCTACCGGACCCTTTTTTCTGCGGATTTTGCGCGATTTTGCTTTTTTTCTATGGAGCCCGACGGGGAAGGTCGCGCTACCGTCGCTGGATCGTCGCTGGAACGTCGCCCCGAAAGTCGCGCTATCCCGGCCGTGCGGATCCGCTGCAAAAGGTATGTCGCTAGGTGTGAATGGGGTCTAAAAGGTGGTTCCAGAGGATGGGGGACACTCTGGAGAAGACCTGGAGGCGAGCGTGGGAGAAGCTAATTCGAGAGCTAGAGAGCAGGAGGTCTTGAGAGGAGCGGAGAGGACAGTTTGGATGATATTTTGAGATGAGGTCAGTGGTGTAGGTTGGGGGCGGAGTTATAGATGGCTTTGTATGTTGTTGTCAGTATTTTGAATTTCATTCGTTGGGCAATTGGGAGCCAGTGGAGGGATTGGCAGAGAGGGGGATGGGAGCCAGTGCAGGGATTGGCAGAGAGGGTGGGGGATGGGAGCCAGTGCAGGGATTGGCAGAGAGGGGCGGCAGACACTGAACAGTTGGTAAGGTGGATGAGTCTGGCAGCAGCATTCATGATAGACTGAATGGGGGAGGAGCCTGCTTAGTGGTAGGGCAACAAGGAGGGAGTTACAGTAGTCAAGGTGAGAGATTACAAGTGAGTGAATTAGAAGCTTTGTGGTTTCGTTTGTTAAAAAGGGGCGTATTTTTGAAAATGTTACAGGAGGTTAGGTCGGCAAGATTTGGATAGTGATTGGATGTGGGGCTGAAAGGAGAGCTCAGAGGCAAGGATTACACCGAGTACGCTGGCTTGATGGGAAGGGTTGATCGTAGTGTTGCTGATTGTGATGGGGAAGTTGGGGGAGGGAACACGGAGAGGAGTCAAAATTATAAACTCAGTTTTTGACAGATTGAGCCGAGCATTCCAGAGGCCACATGAAAAGGGGGGGACTGGATCTTGAGAGCGGAGATATAGGAACGAGATTACTTGGATTGCGGCTGCTGCCAGAGGAAGAGGGGTGCGTGGTGTGCTGAATAGACCTAGATTGCGGGGGGGGGGGGGCCGGGGGTATTATTGTAGAGAGAAGTGGCAAGGTCAGGGCAGAAAAGGGTTTTGAATTTGTCATAAAGGTGGTCTGTTGCAGAGGGGTTAAGGTGGCGAAGGTTCCTATGGGTGGCGGTTGGAATATTGGGGGGCAGATGAGAGAGTGTGCCTCCCCCAGATTGGATCTGGGGGAGGGAGTCCAGTGGAGGCCACCATGGGAAAGGGCAGAGTCAGAATCCTGAAGCCAGGTTTCAGTAACAGCAAATAGGTTAAAGGAGTAGGAGATAAAAGAGGTCATGGATGGAGGTGAGCTTGTTACAGACTGAGCGAGCATTCCAGAGGCCACATGAAAAGGGGGGACTGGATCTTGAGAGCGGAGATATAGGAATGAGATTACTTGGATTGCAGCTGCTGCCAGAGGAAGAGGGGTGTGTGGTGTGCTGAATAGACCTAGATTGCGGGGGACCAGGATTAGGGGAAATGTCCCCGGAGAGCAAGAGAAGCAAAAGTGTGAGAGAAGTAAGATGATAGCTACATTTTCAGCAGTGCATCTGCTCTAAAATTCTGGAGGCTATGCCAGCATGTGGGTTTATGATAAGCAGAAGTTGATAAGTGCAGTAATAGGGAGAGGGCAGGAGTGAGGGTGATATGAATATGCGGGGGAGGGGAGAAGAGGGGTGAAGGAGTGAGAGTTTAAAGATGGAGGACACTACTGTGAGAAGGAGTGGAAGAGACAGCATGCTGACGGAAGAGGGAGATGAGGCAGAGTGGGAGGGGCACAGCAGGGTATAGAAGAGAGGTAACTTGTAGTCATTGAGAGGAGTACATTTTGCCACTATCTATTCAGAGCCTTCTTTCAAAGCGCCGTTTTAAAAGTGCGCTGAAGTTATGCTTTTATAGGGATGTGCTTCAATGGCGACGTCTGCCTGTGCCTTGACCAAATGACAGTAAAACAGCAGAAAGGCTGGTTTGTGAGTGTGCCATGACGCCTTTCTGCTGCTTTACTGTTCAAAGCCCATTTCGTCTGCACCGCGCCATATAACTGGTAACAAATTGTTGAGTGCGTTTGTCGTTTGTTTTGCTTGACCGATTTGGTGCAGAGGGCCGTTTCCCGCTCGCAAGGGGGCGTGTCTGAGCGGACGTCTAGAGACGCCCGCTCAGATCGAGAGAGCTCCGGGCCGCCCGTTTTTTTACTAAGGCCGGCCCGGAGATAGTTAAGGAGGTGGGGCGTCCTCCTGACAAACCTGCACCCAATTTGATATCTTCTGCCCCCATGTGCTCCAAGATGGAGACTCTCATAGTTTAGAGTTAGGACCGCACTATAAGAGGTGCCTTGGCGCGGCAGTGCGGCTTTCACATCCTCTGCAGAAGACGTGTATCCAAACCTCTGTCATTGTCCTTAGTGGTGAGACAAGTTGTTTTACATGCTGGTTTGTGAGTGTGCCATGATGCCTTTCTACTGTTCTACTGTTCAAAGCCCATTTCGTCTGCACCGCGCCGTATAACCGGTGACAAATTGTTGAGTGCGTTTGTCGTTTGTTTCGCTTGACCAAATGACAGTCACGGGACTAAAATAAAACTCCTTGTAAGCTTTGTAAAATGGAGTCTCCTAGGTGGTATTTTAATTATTGTTTTCCTGGGGCGGCGTAAACATATAGTTTGTTTTGTATTATTTAGTTTAAATTTGAAAACTATCACATTGTTGTTTTTCATTTTATTTCAGGATGCAGCTGTTCCGGGGGGGCGTCGATGTCAGCGGAACCCAAACAGTAGCCCACCGTATGTTCCTCCTGAGCCACATCTCATTTCACAGAGCGGCCTGGTCAGGGATTTGGAACTGCCTAAGAGTAAGGCAGAGCTACTGGGCTCCAGATTACAACAGTGGAACTTCTTGCAGAGTGGTGTCAGGAAAAAACAATAAATGAATGGAAAGTTATGTTATTAGTATCCATAATAAGATACATTTATAATGATGGGTATTTTGTGGTAACAGAGGTCTTCTGAGTGAAGAACATGATCCTGTCTATAGCATCCGGTGTACACTGAAGTCTCCTTCCCATTGGGTAATGTACGATAGAAAGAGATACCAATGGATGGGGAGTTTAGTAAGTGGTACACCATACAGCATGTCTAAGTGTACTTGTTTGACAATAGCTAACCTCGAACAATGGGGAGAGAAATCCCCCCGCTGGAGGCAATGACTGCGGAAAATGGGACAATTGCTCCAAAATCCTAGTATCACGTACCTGAAAGGAGACCCAACGGACAGGGTCACCCTAGATGACACCTATATATCATTACAATTGGATCAACCCAAAAACCTAAAACGCACCAGGATATGGATCTTTATTCACCATTTAAAAACCGATTATCATTTTAATTGGAGTTCAATGAGATCAGAAAATGAAAGTCACATGACTAAAATAAAACTCCTTATAGTTGTATTGAAGCTTTGTAAAATGAGCCCACTAGGTGGTATTTCAAGTTTTAGTTTGTTTTCTAAATTCTTATTTAGTTTCACTTTTATTAATATAAAAAAATATCACATTGTTGTTTTTCATTATATTTCTTTATTTGTCTGGATTAGATGTGAGGTATAATCTGTGTGTAGTCATGGAGGTAACGTAACAGAGGAATAGACCACAAGGCAGCGAGCACAACGATGAAACGTAACGGAGACTGCAGTATTTATATTTAACACAAGGTGGTGATCTCACGTGGAAGACTCCTACAGGAAGTGATGTAGAGGAAAAACAGGAACTGATGTAAGGTACATGCAGGAAGTGATGTAGGTGTATAAACAAGAAGTGATGCAAGAGTGAAAAGCTGAGAGGTGAGTTGGAGGAAGTAGAGAGAAGACATCGCAGGAACCGGCTGCAGAGGAGGTATTAAGATATTATTTTATATGTACATCTAGTAACCCCCCTCCCCCGTCATGTCCATTGACTTTCTCCAAAATCACTGAGGTCTGTCATAGTATATAGCACAGATCGACATACATATAGAGCCATTTATCCAACTGTCCATCCAGAGCCACCATTTATAGACCAGATACATCCTAAATATAGAGCCATTTATCTAACTGTCCATCCAGAGCCGCCATTTATAGACCGGATACATCCTAAATATAGAGCCATTTATCCAACTGTCCATCCAGAGCCGCCATTTATAGACCGGATACATCCTAAATATAGAACCATTTATCTAACTGTCCATCCAGAGCCGCCATTTATAGACCGGATACATCCTAAATATAGAGCCATTTATCCAACTGTCCATCCAGAGCCGCCATTTATAGACCGGATACATCCTAAATATAGAGCCATTTATCCAACTGTCCATCCAGAGCCGCCATTTATAGACCGGATACATCCTAAATATAGAACCATTTATCCAACTGTCCATCCAGAGCCGCCATTTATAGACTGGATTCATCCTAAATATAGAACCATTTATCCAACTGTCCATCCAGAGCCGCCATTTATAGACCGGATACATCCTAAATATAGAACCATTTATCCAACTGTCCATCCAGAGCCGCCATTTAATAGCACAGATCGACATACATATAGAGCCATTTATCCAACTGTCCATCCAGAGCCGCCATTTATAGACCAGATACATCCTAAATATAGAGCCATTTATCCAACTGTCCATCCAGAGCCGCCATTTATAGACCGGATACATCCTAAATATAGAGCCATTTATCCAACTGTCCATCCAGAGCCGCCATTTATAGACCGGATACATCCTAAATATAGAGCCATTTATCCATCTTCCATGAAGCTGTCTCGGGGTTGTTGGCTCTCCTCTGTAATGGTCACCAGGTCTTCTCTGGAGGAGGATATGGAGAGGAATGTACAGTACAAGTTCTAATCCAGGCAGCAGAAGAAACCCAAACCATACCAAGACCATAAAGAAATAAAGCTCTTGCTTTGTTTAAGTTATGGAAGTGATGATGTTCATCCAGGTAATATAGTATAGGAAGCAGTCTGAGATGCCAGAACTATGGAGGAACGTTGTGTAGACATCATTCACTCCAAGTCCAGTCCAGATAATCTTCAGTTTATTTTCTCTCTATAGAGCAGAATGTCCTGTATAGATGACATGACCTTCTGAAGAAGGATGTATGAAGAACAAAGTCACATGACAGAAGCCATATTAGACCTCACCCTGGAGATCATCAACCTGCTGACGGGAGAGGTGAGGAGGATTCTGGAAGGTCACATGACATAGTATTTGTAGTGATAACTGTTTCTTTCTCTCTTTACTCAGGATTATAGAGTAGTGAAGAAAATATCTGGTGAGACTTTGACACCCAACAGATGTCTTCACAGGACATCACCCATCACAGAACCTCCACCTCACCGCCTGACCACAAAGGAAAACAAGACTCTGGAAGTCATCAAGAAGATAATGGAGCTGCTGACAGGAGAGGTGAGTGGTGCCGGGAATTCTGGGACATGATCCAGGAACAGACGAGGGATGTGTCTGGGTGGTGACTGTATCATTGTGTGTGTCAGGTTCCTATAAGGTGTCAGGATGTCTCTGTCTATCTCTCCATGGAGGAGTGGGAGTATCTAGAAGGACACCGGGATCTCTACAAGGACGTCGTTATGGAGGATCAGCCGCGTCTCTGTTACAGACCAATGGAAACAAATACAGTTTGTCTCAATGACAGGCTACTAGACTTCACCCTACAGATCATCTACCTGCTGACTGGAGAGGTGAGGAGGATTTTGGGAGGGAGGTCACATGACATCACTTTTATCTCAGGTTTGATATGAAGGACAAGAATGACCCCAGTATAATTATATTTATGATTGTATAACACAGGAGTGTGTAGTAGTTATGAAGACATCTGTTGAGGACAATAGAAAAAAGGAAAGTCCCCACTTACGCACAAGACTAAAAGAAAGACAAAGCCCCGTCACCGTGCCTTCGCCTCCTTTCCTGACTCTTGAAGAAAACAATGAGCACAAAATTCTAGAAGCTACCAAGAAGATGATGGAGCTGCTGATAGGAGAGGTGAGCGGTGCCGGGAATTCTGGGACATGATCCAGGAACAGACAAGGGGTGTGTCTGGGTGGTGACTGTATCATTGTGTGTGTCAGGTTCCTATAAGGTGTCAGGATGTCTCTGTCTATTTCTCCATGGAGGAGTGGGAGTATCTAGAAGGACACCGGGATCTCTACAAGGACGTGGTGATGGAGAATGAGCCGCCCCTCACATCACCGGGTAAGAGGAGAGAGCAGTACGGAGGCTCCGCCTACATCCCCCATCATCTGATACACACATAGAAACAATGTATTCAGTCAGTGTGTGTGTTTCCTACAGATGGATCCAGTAAGAGGAACCCACCAGAGAGATGTCCCCGCCCTCTGTATTCCCGGGATTCCACCCAGGAAGATCACACCGTCCCCCACCAGGATCAGGTAGACGGAATTGACAATTTACAATTAAAAAGTGATCATAGGCTCTATAAAATGATGTTTTTCCATATAATTTCTTGTTATTAATGCTTAATTTTTACAGATGTTATTGTTAATTATTTTTGGGGTTTAGTGTGAAGAACTGAACTATATGAAAGTTGAAGTTAAGGAGGAACAAGATACATTTGTTCTAAGTGATCAACAGTCCATGGAAGTGATTAGGATGATTGTGAAAACTAAAAAGCGGGAATCTTCTCAACATCCCTCCTCAGGCAAGTAATAAACTTTGAATACAGAATATATATGAAGGTCCATCTCCATTCCTCAATATAACGTCATGTGACCAACAAATGAGGAGGAGATACTGTACACCATATAAAGGTCCATCTCCATTCCTCAATATAATGTCATGTGACCAACAAATGAGGAGGAGATACTGGACACCATATGAAGGTCCATCTCCATTCCTCAATATAACGTCATGTCCCCAACAAATGAGGAGGAGATACTGAACACAGCTTGTCTACACACCAGTATGAGACCAATGACATGACTCCTGACTGCAAAATTTGAAGAATACTTTATAACTCTCTATAATTTGTTTCATAACAGATGGGCGCCATGTCCGGAATATCCCGAGGGGCCATCATATTTTAGCTCCAGTTGGTAATTCAGAAGACAATGAAATCTCAAAGCATTCTACGGGAGTGAATCCCGTTCCTCGACATATACTTAATCTTTCGAATAGACCAACATCTAATGTTGAGGAATCTTCTGATACATCCCATGGTAGGACTCCAGATACACATCTGAGATCTCAGAGTGCGGAGAAATCAACAGATCCATCTAATCCCGAGGAATCTTCCTCAAGTCATGAAGGAGATCACACAGGAGAGAGTTCATTGTCATGTTTGGGGTGCGGGAAATCTTTCAGAACAAACCCAGAACTTCTTATACATCTCAGATCTCACACCAGGGTGACGTTTTCATGTTTAGAGTGCGGGAAATCTTTCAGTGAGAAAAGTGAACTTCTTACACACCAGAAAAGTCACACGGGTGAGAACCCCAATTCATGTTCAGAGTGCAGGAAATCTTTCAATCTGAAAGGAGACCTTATTAGACACCAGAGAATTCACACGGGTGAGCGTCCTTTTTCATGTTTAGAGTGCGGGAAACGTTTCGCACAAAAAGGAAGCCTTCTGACACACCAGAAAATCCACACAGGTGAACGACCTTTTTCATGTTCGGAGTGTGGGAAATCGTTCATATTCAAAAGACGCCTTCTGTTACACCAGAGAAGACATACGGGCGAGCGCCCCTTTTCGTGTCCGGAGTGTGGGAAAAGTTTCACTGAGAAAGCCTACCTTCTTACGCACCAGAGAAGTCACACGGGTGAACGTCCTTTTTCTTGTTCGGATTGCGGGAAAAGTTTTGCAGCAAAAAAAGCACTTATAAGACACCAGAGAACGCACAAGGGGGAATGTCCATTCTCGTGTTCAGAGTGCGGGAAAAGTTTCGCTCAGAAAGCACACCTCCTCACGCACCACAGAATTCACACGGGCGAACGTCCTTATTCATGTTCGTATTGTAAAAAAAGCTTTACTCAAAAAACAAATCTTCATACACATCAAAGAATTCACACTGGTGAACATCTGTGTTCATAATGTGGGAAATGGTTTTTACATTTAAAGCTAAACTTCAGCCAGGAGGAATGTGATCTTCTAAGGAAGGTAGATTCTTGTGCGCACATCCAGTTTTATACAGTTTCTGTTCCCCAAATTAGGTTTCTTATTCCACCTGTTTCTTCTTCCTTCCGGTTTGTGCTGCTGCTGTTTTCTCCATTAGGAAAAATGGCTCCCAGTTTTGTTTCCTCCAGTTTTGTTTCCTCCTATCTGTAGTTTCCCAAAGGAGATGCATGACATGTGATATCAATGATTCTTTCTGTGGGCGGGCACAATTACATAGCTCCCGGTCGAGCCCCCACATCCGGTGAAAATAATGCCCATAGCCAGTGAAAACGTCTAAGGCATTTTTGTTGTCCATGGGCAGAGGGGGCTAAAAGGTTAAAGGTGGGCATGATCCTGGACTTAAAAGGAACTTCATCCTAATATTGTATATTAAACGGTAAAAAAGCTATAAAATGGCAATTTTTAAAGATACCTATTGTCGGGACTCGAGCCGCGGTCCGGTCCTGGCTGGGCCGTCTGATGCAGGGACACGGCACCCGGTGACAAGGCGGCCCGGCGGGGCACGCCCACCAGTGACGAGGCGGCCCGGCGGGGCACGCCCACCAGTGACGAGGCGGCCCGGCGGGGCACGCCCACCTATGACGAGGAGGCCCGGCAGGGCACGCCCACCTGTGACGCGACGGGCTGGTGGGACACGCCCCTGTGCGTCAGGACGCCGCCCAGTGATGTCACTAGGGCTATAAAAGGAGGCACAGCACTCCCAGTCATTGCTGAGTGCTCTTCAGCCTGTGTGCTTCAGGTCTGTTCTGTTCCCTGCTGTGTTCTGCATTATATTTGACCCCTGGCTTGTACCTGACTATTCTCTGGATCCTGCTCTTGCTCTTAGTATTTACCTGGCTTCTGACCCCGGCTTGTCCTTGACTATTCTCTGGATTCTGATTTGGGCTATACTCCCCCTCTCTGGCTTCTGATCTTGGCTTGTCTCTGACCACTCGCTGGATCCTGCTGGCTACTAGTATTGCCTCCTTGGTTGTTAACCTAACTTACCTTGTTTCCCACAGTGCTTGATTCCGCTCAGCGGCACCCAGGATTTCATACCGGCGCCCGTGCTGCTCTTGCCTGTGCCCCCTGTTACACTTCAGGGTTCCACAGACGGAACCGCAAGGGAGGTCCTCCTTATCACTTCGGGCCCGCACCACGGTACGTGACACCTATCATCACGTACAGTGTAAAGTTTTCTTGCATTCTGTAAAAATTCAGGTGCCTGACTGCTGCAGTTCCACCATTTTCAATAAATACAAAGGACTATCTGGCCATTTCCTTCCGGTTTGTGCCAACAGCTGCCGCTGTTTTTTCCATCAGGAGAAATGGCTTCCAGTTTAATTTCCTCCTATCTATAGTTTTCCAAAGGAGAGCCATGACGTGATATAACTGCTTCTTTCTGTGGGCGGGCACAATTACACCGCTCTCGGTCGAGCCCCCACAGCTCCCGGTCGAGCCCCCACAGCTCCCGGTCGAGCCCCCACAACCAGTGAAAACAATGCCCACAGCCAGGAAAAAGTTCTAAGCCATGCCCATGAGCATGCCCAGCGTGGATTCCCGGGCAACTGTAGTTTATGATTCCTCCTCAGAAACATGGCAGATGTGACATGCACCTCCCGCTTAGATCCTGCCCGCACTGCCTGGACACAGCTGATGACATCACACGCAAGAAAATCATTCCTTAATCAAAAAAGTAAGAAATTGTTTGTTATAACTTAAAAGCATTTTAATTGTTCATGGGCAGAGGGGGCTAAAGGTGAAACGTGGGCAAGATCCTGACGTTAAAAGGAACTTCACCCAAATATTGTAAATTAAAAAGGTACAAAAGCTATAAAATGGCAATTTAAAACTTACCTAACTACACATACAGTGTAAAGCTTTCTTGCATTCTGTAAAAATTCAGGTGCCTGGCTTCTGCATTTCCACCATTTTCAATAAATACAAAGGACTATCGGGCCATTTCCTTCCTGGTTTGCTGCGGTGGCCTCCTGAGGATTAAATGATGCGTAGGATGGCATGCACTCCCAGTGCTCTAGTATCAAAAATGTGTAAATAATAAAATTCCTTGCAAAGAACTCTGGGAGCGCATGTGTGTCGGTCCAGTGCTGTGGACTAGGCTGAAGGATCATATATTCATATCCCAGTAGTCTGCGGTGAGTTCAAGGTACAGGTTACGTCATTCTCACCTAGGTGAAACATGCGGGAGTAGAGGGAGGAGAAGCTAAAATAAAATAATAAAGGAGCTTCCATAACCACGCCTTGATATGCTCCTCGTCACCATAGGGGCTTAAAATGTTGTCTTCCGTGTACTCCAACATGAGGGTTCCCCCACGCTCCCCAACTGGCCAAACTCTAACCCAACATTTCCATCTCCTCCTAAACCCCCCCTCCCTTATCTACCCTCCTTCATAAACTTAACCTAAAGGTCTACCGCACCCGGCAGTACCACCATAAGGAAACCACCACTGTGACTTCTCGCCAAGGTTCTAATTCCATAACTCTGGTGACATTACATATGCTCATATTTACTTGTATCAAATCTGCTTTGTCTGTTATACAGGAATTGCCAAATAAATATTTTTTTTTAAAGGGTATTCTAAAGAGGACACGCCTGTAAAAATCAGATTTGTGACCTACTCTATAATGAAGTACATTAAGGGCTGTTAAGATACATTGGGTTATGCTGCTGGCGTCAGGAGATTGGACACTGGCAGGAACCAGCTGTAGGACAGTCCAATATAACCTCCCCACTCCCATCATGCCTCGGTGTTGTATGAGTGAATCATAAGAAACGAGGGGAGGGACCTTTGTCCTTAATGTACTCCAAGAAAAGGATAAGGGTCAAGTTGGGATGTCCAAAAGCCGTCCATTTGAGGGGTCGCCAACACAGTAAACGCAAGCTAAAAGACACACAAAAAAAAACAAGGGGGGACGCTTGAAGAACCTTATGATGGAAGGTGGCATCAGCTGAGGCCTAAAAGTCTACCTGGTGACACTAATGTGCACAGAAGACCCGGTGGTGGCCTTACAAATCTGAGGAACCAATGCCTGATGCCAAAAAGCCCAAGAAGAACCAAATGATCTAGTGGAGTGCGCTGTTCGGATTCTTACAACATTCTTTAAATTTCTTGAATCGAATTTCTAAAAGATAAGAGTGAGGAGCCGTGGTGGAAATGGAAGAGCCCAATGTCCTTTCGCAGGAGGGTAGAGTTCTTACAGTGGGGTCTCCTTTTTGTTTTGCGCCCTCTTCTGAATGGACCCACTCAGCCATGAAGGATATTAGCGCTGGTGTTGAGACATTAGGACCCTAAATCACCTTCCTAAGAAGATCACCTTGTAGTATCTTCTCCACATTGCAAAACGGAACGAGGAGGACCTCACATAAGACCATCCAGAAGAAAATAATGTTTGTACTTGCTGAAAAATCTTTAGAGTCCATTGAGGGACACAGAGATATTGTAATTTTTCAGACAAGTGGATTATCTGCAGCTGCCAACAGAAGGTAGACACTGGCAAGAGGAAAAAAAAAATGCCCACTATAACACCACCCCAGACCGACCTGCCTCAGTTTCATGACCAAGCAGTACATTAGGGCCAATAACACAGAGGAGCGCGGCCTATGTCCCTCAATTAACATCAAGAAAAAAAAATTATGGTAAGCAAAAAAAATTTTGGGCAACACACGAATAATGTCATTCATAGACATGAGGGAGGTCCAAAAGAGGTCCATCTGAGGGGCGGACACACGAATAATATAATTCATAGACGTGTGAGAGGTCCAAAAGCGGTCCATCTGAGGGGCGGACAACAGCCACTGGGAGATCCAATAAATGTTGAACTCTTACTGGACAAATATCCCAACGAATCGATGCCTAAAAAAGCCTAATCAAAAAAATTGGGGCAATATGCACATTTTTACCAACCAGCAAGGCGCCCAGAAGAATCTGGTGTTCCCAAACAAGGCAGACAGAGGGTTTCTGCTATCTGAATGGTGGACCTCAACAATAACTGGAGGAACCCATCAACCACCCTAAGGAATTAGCACGTGGGAGAAAACTTAGACCAACAGTAATGGTGGTCAACCAAAAGTGGGGCAATATGGAAATTTCTACCAACAAGGCACCCAGAAGAATCTGGTGTTCCCGAGGAAGACAGACAGAGGGTTGCTGCTATCTGAATGGTGGACCTCAACAATAGCTGGAGGAACCCATCAACCACCCTAAGGAATTAGCACATGAGAGGAAACTTAGAGCAACATCAATGGTGGTCAACAAAATGTGGGCCAGTATGGACATTTCTACCAACCAGCTAGGCACTAGGTGTTCCAGATTCACCCAAAAAAATTCACGGGGTGAGCAGCCTTTTTCATTCTCGGAGTGTGAGCAGTCTTTCAAGATAAAACACGACCTTGTTTTGCACCAAACGTCTCACACCGGTGAGATCTTCTCGTGCTCAGAGTCCAATCAATCATTCCTAAAGAAATCTCAGTTTGTGACACACCACAGAGGAGTGCCCACCGATGAAGCCTTTTTCAGCTGCTCTAACAAAGACTCTGCCCCAAGGGATCCCGATGTAGCTCTTTATTTCATGTGCAGGTCTTGGTGGCCAATGACGCCCAGCATCATTGAACCCAATAACTGTTAGCCTGGGGTGGCAAAGACCTGCCCGTCCTGGACCCACAGGAGAATGCTACAACATTATGTGTGCACTGTTCCCTGTAGCACTCAGAACCTGCCCACCAGATCAGGAAGAGGACCTATTATAGGACAGGGTCTGGAGATCTTAAGACCAAAGGTATTGTGAGCTGGGACCAGGTAGCAGGTCTAGAGCTCCCTGGGTGAGCAGGGACCAGTCCAGTAGCAGTGCTCCAAAAAACAGCCAAAACTCCAAATCGCAAGCCTAACCATGTCCTGGGCACCATCTACACACAAATACAGTCCTAACTGGCCTACTGCTCGTCAGTTACAGACTTGTCACCTGCCACAATCCTCCACCTATCCGCTCCCTCAGGCTATGGAGCCCCATCTTTGTGTCTCAGCTGAAGCTAAATGGCCCATCAGGAAGAGATGTATTCCTGGGGTGGACCTAGAGGTTCCAGAAGGTGTAATATAGGAATCTGGTTTGTGATTTACAAACCCCACCAAGGAATTCTCCGGGCCCTCTGCACGACATACTGCTACTGTATGTATATGTGTCTGGTGAGTGGGTGGGTGGGGACTTCCAAGAGGGGGGCGGGTGGCCAAAGAACAGTGGGGATGACCAACTCATTTGGGCTTCAAGTAGTTTTCACTCTGTGGTCATCCACAAACATGGAGATACCACTTTGGGGTTCCTTGAACAAGAACACGAGGGAAGAGGACCCATACCAAACCAAGGGTGAATGGGGATTTTAAGAGGGGGTGGGTAGCCATAAAACAGTGGGGGTGACCAACTTCCATTTGGGCTTCAAGTAGTTTTCACTCGTGTCATCCACCTACACGGACATACCACTTTTGGGTTACATGAACAAGAACACGATGAGGGAAGAGGACCCTTAGCAAAGGGTGGTTGGCCAAAGAACAGTGGAGATGATTAACTTTCATTTGGGCTTCATGTAGGTTTCACTCTATGTCATCCACCTACATTGACATACCACTGTTGGGTTACATGAACAAGAACATGACGAGGGAAGAGGGCCCCTACCAAACAAAAGGTGGTTGTCCAAAGAATGGTGGGGATGACCAACTTCCATTTGGGCTTCAGGTAGGTTTCACTCTATGTCATCCACCTACATGGACATACCACTGTTGGGTTACATGAACAAGAACATGACGAGGGAAGAGGACCCCTACCAAACTGAAGGTGGTTGTCCAAAGAATAGTGGGGATGACCAACTTCCATTTGGGCTTCAAGTAGTTTTCACTGTGTCATCCACCTACGCGGACATACCACTGTTGGGTTACCTGAACAAGAACACGATGAGGAAAGAGGATCCTTACCAAACC